AAAGGAAAGGAAGGAAGGAAGGGAGCTTCTTACCTGCCGACCGCAGGAAAGGCGGCTCTCTTCCTCGCTCTCCAAGAGACGCTCGCAGAAAAAGACCAGCGATCCGCTTTCCTCCCAGCCCCGCCGCCTTCCTTCCTTCCTTCCCGATCACGCACGTGGATCCCCCTTCACTAAACTGCCTGCAGAGCTCAAGCAGGAAGCCTTTGTAGCTCCTCCCCTCCCCGTCCAGCTCCACCCCCTTCGGGGAACCCCCTGCCCGCCCTCTCCCTTCTGCCACGGGGGAGCGATCCCGCGTGGGATGGTCCTCTGGGCCGGCAGTCGGAGACAGAGGGGAGAGAGGGAGGGGACGAAGCCCAGGGACGAGAGGAGGGGAGGGAAGGGGCTGCGGGAGCAGCAAAGTTAGAAGGGAATCCCCCCTTTCCGAAGGAAAATGGAGCTGGCAGGAAAAGGAGGCAGTCTGTCTGATCCACTTAGCGTCGTCCTCCACTTACAACATCTTCCCGTAAATGACTAACTCTTCATGATTGTGCCTTAATCACAAATACTCCATTGCTAAGACTTGAGACCATTTGTTTAGCGGCCCTTTTGATAGAAGGAAAGGAAAGGTCTTCAAAAATTTAATATTGAAAGAGAAATTTAAAATTGAATTTGCTGCAGTGGCAATTTACTGAATGGAGAAATAGGAAAGGAGATCATAAAGACAGGATGTAACATAAATACATAGGCAAAAATTAGCTGGGTTTTAAGAGTGGGAAAGGAAGGAGACAAGCTATAAAATCATCTGTAAGAGAAGATAACCAGCAAAACAGGAAATAACCTATTTTTCTAAGAAGTCATAAAAAAGGGGGCCAGAACTCAAGCAACTGAGCATGTGCAATTAGTTGATTAATATTAACTGACACACCTTGCATAAATTATCTCCTAATTTTAATGTACATGTGATGTATGATTTAGTATGTAGCAGGAAATATGTAGGAGGCAGTCGGAAAGAGTGTAATCTCATAGTACAATGATGGCGAACCTTTAAGAGACTGTGCCCAAACTACAACCCAAAACCCACTTATTCATCTTCGAGTGCCGGGTGGGTGTGGCCAATTGGGTGGGCATGGCCTATTGGGTGGGTGTGGCTGCGGTGGTAATGGCAGACTGGGTGGGACTCAAAAGTTCAATCAATTCCAACTGTGCAAGATCTCCCCCCCCCCCCCGCAAGAAGTTGAAATTGACTGAACTTTTTTTTTTTTTGCACATGGTGGCAGAGGCCTAAAGTGAAAAGATTTTATAAAACCCAGCTGAAAGCCTAGGACTGGGGTGACGGCACACATGCCCATAGTGAGGGCTCTGAGTGCCACCTCTGGCACCCATGCCATAGGTTCGCCACCACTGTCATAGTACCTCAGCCAGGGGAAAGAAGAGGGATCTGGTGGCCGAGATAGGACTGTATAAAGAAGGGAACATTTTGGGTTGGAACTTTGGAGAGAACCAAGCTTTGATAGCTTCTCTCCCCGCTTATTGCAATTAACGAAACAAAAGGCTTTCACTGTATCTTGGCTGGTTATTGGTCAGACGAGCTTGCCTCTGGTCACGAAGGAAAGTAGCCACATAACACTTTGAAGCTACAACAGCACTGAAAAGTGTTTTAGAATTGTTTTGCACACTTAATGACCGTTGCGGCATCCTCACGGTCACGGGATCAAAATTCAATCGCTTGACAACTGACTCCTACTTATGAGGGGTTGCAGTGTCTTAGGACCAGGTGAACCTTTTGACAAGCAGAGTTAATGGGCGAGCCAGGTTCGCTTAACAACTGTTACTAACTCAACTGCTGTGGGCAACGAGAAAAATGTGGACTGAATTGTGGTCGTTAAGTCGAGGATTATCTGTACAAAAAATTACTCCTACTTCGACAGTTCCAAGCCTAAGAGAGCAGGCTTCAGGTTTCCAGAGACAGGCTTCCTAGTATAGTCGCCATTTGCACTTCCAGCTTGGCGGAAAGAAGGATAGAACAAAAAAGTCACTTTTGGTTTTTCGTTACCTTTTCCTGACCCAATGCTGACTCTGTTCCCAGGTGTGACCATGCCTCACATTGAACACAAGAGGACAAGATTGCAAGTAAAAACTTTATTCTGCAGAAAAAAAATAACACAACCCCCTGTACCCTACCTATGTCCGATGGAGTGCCACCCAGTTTACGAGTCAGAGTCAGAAGGTATTATCTCTTTAGCACAGTAGAAGGAAACAACATTAGAACCACAACTTTTTGCTTTTACACAAGACGTACAAGCCATTTCTATAATGAAACTCGGTGCCTTCTGGTTTTTTCTTCCCTTACACTTATCCCTCTTTTCCCACTACCTTTTCTCTTAGTTTTCCATGCTTCTCCCCCCTTTTATATTTTGATAAAATTAATAAAACATTTCAATAGAACGAAGGTATTTCCTCATCTTCCTTTATGGCAATTCCTGCCTGTTTTACAGGATGAGAGGAGAGTGAGATTCAGGCTAAAATGAAAGAGGAAGAGATAGAAAAAGAGGAGGGGAACAAAAGGTTAGGGGACCTATTGATATGGGTTCTGACAGCTACAACAGCACTGAAAAAAAGGGACTTATGTCGGTTTCTCGCACTAAAGATGGTTGCAGCATCCCCAGGGTCACATGATCAAAATTCAACCTCTTGACAACTGATTCACATTTATGACTGTTGCAGTGTCCTGGTGCCACGTGAAACTTCTGACAAGCCAAGTCAAGGGGGAGCCAGATTCGCTTAATAACTGTGTTACTAATGTACTCGCTGCGGTAATTCACTGAACAACCACGGCAAGAAATATTGTAAAATGGGACCAAATTCACTTCACAAATGTCTCACGTAGCAACAGGAATTTTGGACTGAATTGTGGTCGTAAGTTGAGGACTACCTGCTTTTGAAGTGTTGATGGGGCATGTCTGAGAGCAATACAATTTAGAGAGGGCTTGCTTGCCCCAAAATAGGAGAATAAAGAGAAAAGGGGAGGGGAACTCACAGAAACTGCTTTCTTCTTATATTATCCCCAATAAATTCAGAACTGAAGGGCCCCCTTGATGCTCCATAAGAGAATCCCATTTACCATCCCACTCTGAAGCTGAAGAAATCCTCTTAGATAGGAAACATTTAATATTGAACTATTTAAAAGCTCTGAGCTAGGAAATATTTAAAAGTATATGAAATTCAGAAGAAAAACTACTAGTACATAGTACAGGTAGTCAACTTGTGTCCATTTTTCGCACTTAGGACCTTTGCAGCATCCCATGGTCACGTGATCAAAATTCAGACACTTGGAAACTGACTCGTGTTTATGACCGTTGTAGTGTCCCGGGGTCATGTGATCACCTTTTGCAGCCTTCTAATAAGCAACATCAATGGGAAAACCAGCTTCGCTTAACGGAATTTAACAAGAAAATCTGTCAGAGAATTGCACAAGTGTCCAAGTGAAGTCAGAGAGGTCTGCATGACCTTAACATAAATTAATACATTTTACATCAATATTTACAGTAAACAAGATAATCAGGCCAACAGGAGCATCATGAGGTAAATCAGCACCACAGGATCATCCTGAGGTAAAATTACAGAGCGCACAGAGGAAAAAAGGTGGGAAACAAAGAAACTCCCCTTTTCCACTCGCAGTAACCAACCAGAGCATAGATTGCCTCATGCAGGAGACAGCTCTCTCCAACCAATCAGCTAAAACTGTGTGTTCTGATTCATTGTACCACTCCACTGTTCCAGCTACTAAATTTAAATAGACAGTCCTTGGGGTATGCCTCTAATCCAGTGGTTCTCAACCTGTGGGTCGGGACTCCATCTGGGGTCGAACGACCATTTCACGGGGGTCGCCAAACAACGCAGTCCGCCATTTTTTCCCCCTTTTCCTTAGCTGTGCTACTCCCTTTTATTCTATTGGCTTTGAAAGCCAATAGAATAGACTCTCTTGAATAGAGTCTAATTCTATTGGCTTTCAAAAGCCAATAGGAATTGTCCAGGCTGTCTCTGCCCTGATGAGCCTGCCAAAAGTCCCATTCTGCAAACGGTGCTGCACCAGTTGAGTAGTCCTTGACTTACGACCGGCTGAGTAGTCCTCGACTTACGACCGGATGGGGGTCGCGGCATTAAAAAGGTTGAGAACCACTGCTCTAATCAGGCTCAAAAAAAACATCAAATGAATCAGACTCAATTTTATGGATTTTTTGTTGATTGAATCAAATCAGTCATTAAATGAAGGAAGATCTGACTATTGCCTCTGATTCTTTAATTGATCACTGCCACCAGCTGTTTCCAACGAAGCCTTCAGCTCCGGAACTGAATTGCTTGCAAGCAAGCTGGCAGAGCTCTCCGATTGCAATTGCTTTTAAAAAAATAAACAAAAACAACCCACTTACTGCTAGGCAGCTCAAGCCTCTTCAGACAGCTGGGGGCAATAATTTACAGAATTCTCCTATTGAAGTTGCTTTTAAAAAAAATTGCCACTAATTGGCTTAACAGTCTCCAGCCAGACACCCAGAGATGGGTGAAGGGTTTACAGAACTGTCAGCTTCTGATTACAAGGGACCTTGAGGTCATATTCTAATCTAGTCTAACCCACTGCTCTCACAAGAGAGTATTTCTGACAAATGCCTATCCAGTCTCTTCTTAAAAGACTCCAGTGATGGGGCACCCACAACTTCTGGAGGGAATTTAAATTTAAAACCTCTTTTAAAAAGAACACTGCCCCTGATCAGCACAAGCCTCTCCAGGCAAAATCCAAAATGGAGGAAGATTTCCTTTCAAAATGGAGAGCACAAGCCTTTCCAGGCAAAATCCAAAATGGGGTGGGGGAGGGTTTCCTTCCAAGGGATTAGCACAGTGTTTCCCAACCTTGACAATTTTAAGGCATGTGGACTTCAACTCCCAGAATTCCACAGCCAGCATTGCTGGCTATGGAATTCTGGGAGTTGAAGTCCACATGCCTTAAAATTGTCAAGGTTGGGAAACACTGGAATTAGCAGAAGCAGTGGGTCTGTGCTACAGAGAGGAGGCCACTGCAGCAGCAGCCACATGCTACCCATCCTTTGATGGATTGATCCATTAATTCCATGGCTCTCCCCTCCCAGCCTCCCCCACAAGCTGAAGATTAATTCCTGATTCTTATTCCTCCCCCACAAAACAACCCTGTAAGGTAGGGCAGACTGACAGAGGGCTGGTAAAAATTTTAAGTTTCCAGGAGTGAGTCATATCAGCACCAAAGTGGTGGAATAATAGCCAACTCTCCAGAAGATAGGCTCAAGATCCAGAAAGATCTCAGCAGACTTGAACCATGGGGCCTAAATAACAAAATGAAATTCACTGGTGAGAAAAGGTTTTACAGTTAGGCAAGAAAAACCTTCTTCCCCTTTAAACCAAATTACCTGCACCTTACACATTTCTCCCCTCAATTTCCGTTTCTCTTCAAAGAAACGAACATTACTAACATTACTGTATGTATAAAACTTTTTAATAACTAACTAATATATATATATATAAATACAAATACTCTTCAATAACTGAAAAATGAAGTGCAAAACATTGAAATACAGTAAAAGTGAAAACGTTAGTGCAGTGAAAAATCAAAATGTGTCCTCTTTGCTGAGGTCTGAAAGGATGGAGCAGCTGGTCAATGGCCAAGGCTCATCTAGGACTGTTGAGGTAGATGCGGATGGGCGTCCTGTAGTTTTCTGGAGAAATCCTGCAAGTTATTTGCACTCTTTTTTGTTTGTTTGTTTATCTTCATATATTTCTCGATAACATTTCAAAACGTTATTGATTTCTCTTTGGATTCTACCCACACGTTCTTCGTTGGGATCAATGTCACTCAAAAAAGATAACACATGGTTCATTTTGGAGAAAAATTCTGCCAAGTCTTTTAATGTTAACTTTTTAGAGATGCAAGCTCCTCCTCCTCCATCTTCCTGTTCCTTCTTCTCCTCCTCTTCATCTTCTCCTGCCTCCACATCCCCCTGTTTTTTTGATTCATTTTGCAGTCGCATTAATTCTTCATTAGAAAGTTCCCCCTCGTTGTATGCAATGAAATTTTCCACATCCCCAGCATCAATATTTAAATTAAGGGATCTGGCCAGTGTTACAATATCCCGACTGATGACTTGAACATTTTCATCTTGGTCAAAACCATCCCAATTTTTTACAAATACAGCAAAACGTTTTAAACATTTTCTCCAAATCCCTTGCATACATTTTGTAGGGACATCCTGCCAGCCTACTGCAATGTTTTGGATGCAGTGAAGGATATTGTAACCTTTCCAAAAGTCACACAATATTATTTCCTCTCTGTCCATTGCAGCTATGGCTTCGGCCAATGTGGCACGTAAGTAGTGTGCCTTGAAAGTTGCAATTGCTCCCTGATCCATAGGTTGTAGGAGAGGGCTTGTGTTTTTGGGGAGATAGACTACTTTCACACGAGGGTGGAGATTGCCCAGATGGGGGGGATGTCCAGGGGCATTGTCCAGAAGTAGTAGTATTCTGAAAGGGATCTTGTTCTCCAAGCAGTAGGTCCTTACTTGTGGCACAAAGCAGGACACAAACCAATCCTCAAAGATTACTTGTGTCATCCACGCCTTCTTATTGGCTCTGTAATACACTGGGAGAGCGTGCTTACTTATGTTTTTGAAGACATGAGGATTCTCTGATCTATGAATCAGCAATGGCTTCAACTTGAACCCAGAAACATTTCCGCCCAACAACAAAGTTATTCTGTCCTCAGATACTTTAGATCGAGGCATTGTTTTGCCCTCTTTGTGGATGTAAGTCCGTCCTGGCATTTGCTTCCAATAAAGCCCAGTTTCATCCACATTAAAGATCTGCTGTGGTGAATAGTTGCCCTCTACTACAATTTTATCCAGTTTGTCTGGAAAGTGTTGGACAGCTTCTTCATCAGCACTCAAAGCTTCACCTATTGTTCGTATGTTATAGTAATTGAATCGTTTTTGGAATCGCATAAACCAGCCACGGCTGGCCCCAAAGGTCTCAATGCGCTCCTCACCTGCTCCTTGCTTTAGCATTTCAAAAATGCTGCGGGCCTTCGCCTGAATCAGATGGAGACTAATTGGGATTCTTTTCTGGATCCGATCGTCAATCCAAAGCACAAGTAGCTGTTCTGTTTTTGAAATGAGGCCTGTCCTATTTCTCGTGATTATGGCATCTGTTCCTGGAGCTGATTTAATCGCCTCTTTTATCTTTTCTTTATCCTTAAGGATAGTGCAGATGGTGGACGCGGCCAGTCCTTCTTCTTCTCCTATGGTCTTTATCCTCTTCCCCTTCTCGTGGGCTTTAATTATTTTCATTTTCAAGTCCAAATTGATACTTTTCCTTTGTTTCTTGCGTCCATGTTGAGCTGAAGTAGAGCTTGGTCGCTTTCCTTGGGAAGACATTTTTGGCCTAAGAAAGAGTTGATGGAAAAGTACAGTATCTTGTCCTGTAGAGAGTTAAATAGATAGACAGAGAGAGAAAGAGACTGGTTCAGAACTGTTTACAGCAGTGGTTCTCAACCTGTGGGTCGGGACCCCGTTTGGGGTCGAACAACCATTTCACGGGGGTCGCCAAACAATGCAGTCCGCCATTTTTCCCCCCTTTTCCTTAGCTGTGCTACTCCCTTTTATTTTATTGGCTTTTGAAAGCCAATAGAATAGACTCTCTTGAATAGAGTCTAATTCTATTGGCTTTCAAAAGCCAATAGGAATTGTCCAGGCTGTCTCTGCCCTGCTGAGCCCACCAAAAGTCCCATTCTGCAAATGGTGTTGCACCAGTTGAGTAGTCCTTGACTTACGACCGATTGGGGGTCGCGGCATTAAAAAGGTTGAGAACCAGTGGTTTACAGTAAGATCAATGTTATGGGGTGAGGGGAGGCAGTACTGTAGTGGGAGAATGTGTTTTCCTTCTGTCAGAAATTTCTTTCCCTTGACAAAAGCATAGGAATGGTCACTGCTAGCAACAACACACAGCACAGTATTTGAAAGTCTTTTATTTACACTACTGTATTAGTTTATATATATTCCATCTTTGTTTTTAACCTGCTCCACTTGGTTACAGTATTTTGTTCCCTTCATGCACAGCAAGACTGAATCTGATTCTTAACAAATAGGAAAGAGCAACTTGTGAAGGCCAGACTCTTCATACAGAGTCCATTTGTGAAGAAAAGCCAGGCTTTATAAAAAAGATAAAAACCACACACATATATATATAGTTTGCAAATTTGAAAATCAGAAGTTCAGATAAGAGATACAGCATCGGGGGGGGGGGGGAAACCAATGTTGGAGGATTTCATGTGCATTAATTTTTTTTTTTTAAAAAATGCACTACCGTACTTTCCGGCATATAAGACAACTTTCACAAGCGTTAAAATCGGCACCGAAGTCGGGGGTTGTCTTATACGCCGAGTCGTCTTATACGCCGGAAATAACAGTAGTTTCCGGCATATAAGACGACTTTCTAGGCATGCGACTCGGTGCCGAAGTCGGGGGTCGTCTTATACGCTGGGTCGCCTTATACGCCGGAATATACGGTACATTATCTGAACAGAATCCCTTACCTAAGGAGGCCATATTCCTTGCGTTTTCCAGCACGACCTCTCGGTACAAAGCTTTTTGCTCAGAATCCAGCAAAGCCCACTCTTCCACGGAAAAAAATACAGCTACATCCTCGGGTGATACCAAATCCTGACATAAGGAGGGGAAAAAAAAACACAATGTATCCCATGAATATTCCTAACAAGGAACACTTCAATGAATTACATGCAGGTCCTCTTCTTGATGAACAAACTGCAGTTTCCAAGTAGGACAAATGAGCATGTTAAGATATTGAATTTAGTAGCTGGAACAGTAAAGTATACAATAGGCCAGAACACACAATTGCAGTTGATTGGTTGGAGTGGGCTGGCTCCTGCATGAGGCAATCTAGGCTATGATTGGTTGCTGAGAGTATAAAGGAGTTTCCCTTTTTTCCCTCCGTTTTTTCCTTCTATGTGTTTTGTATGTATGCTATTTTAGATTTACCTCATGATGTTCCTATATCCCTGATTATCTTATGTTCTTCCTTTTCTGGATGATGACAAAGACTGCTGTAAAATTGTACATTAAATATATATTTATATAAAAGACTACAACTCTGTGTCAGTGTCTCCGGCTTCATCTGGACAGCTGCTGCACAATTCCTGACCAGAACATATTCTCTGGAGAACGTTTACAAAAACATGAAGTGCCTCTGGCTAGAGATACATCTAGTTCAGTGGTTCTCAACCTGTGGGTCGGGACCCCATTTGGGGTCGAACGACCATTTCACGGGGGTCACCAAACAACGCAGTCCGCCATTTTTTTCCCCCTTTTCCTTAGCTGTGCTACTCCCTTTTATTCTATTGGCTTTTGAAAGCCAATAGAATAGACTCTCTTGAATAGAGTCTAATTCTATTGGCTTTCAAAAGCCAATAGGAATTGTCCAGGCTGTCTCTGCCCTGCTGAGCCCACCAAAAGTCCCAGTCTGCAAATGGTGCTGCACCAGTTGAGTAGTCCTCGACTTATGACCGGTTGGGGGTCACGGCATTAAAAAGGTTGAGAACCACTGATCTAGTTAATGCTTTATTGGTTTGGCCGATTCTGCAGGAACAGCAATCCCATAATCCTTTGCTGTCCGCTGATGGACTAGACCAGGGGTAGGCAACCTTGGCTCTTTTATGACTTGTGGACTTCAACTCCCAGAATTCCTGAGACAGCAAGGTTGCCTACCCTTGGACTAGACCTTGGACGGGTTGTTCCAAATCCAACACTGGGTTAATTTTACCCACTGCGCTGAGCCAATAAATCATGCCAAATCAAGGAAAGTGGAGTTCAACATTTAATTTCTGCACAAAACCCATGCTTGGACTTTACTTTTTTACTTTGGACTTTCATATGTACCACTTTAAAAAACCTTAGTAAAAACCACACCTGGAACATTGAATTCAGTTTTGGTCAACACATTACAAAAAAGAAGTGGAGACTTTGAAAAAAGTGCAGAGAAGAGCAATTAAGAAAATTAAAGGCCTGGAGAATAAAACATATGAAGAATGATTGCAGGAACTGAGTATGGCTAGTCTAGAGAAAAGCAGGACTATGGGAGACATGATAGCACTATTTCCGTATTTGAGAGGCTGCCACAAAGAAGAGGGCTTCAACATTTTCCAAGCACCAGAAGGCAAGACAAGAAACAATGGATGGTAACTAATCAAGAAGAAAAGGCAACCTGGAATTAAAGAGAAACTTCCTGACAGTAAGAACAATTAACCAGTGGAACAACTTGGCTTCAGAAGCTGTGGGCACTTCATCACTGGGGGTTTTTAAGAGACTGGACAGCCACATGTCTGAAATGGTATACGGCAGTGGTGGCGAACCTATGGCACGTGTGCCAGAAGCGGCACTCAAAGCCCTCTCTGTGGGTACACGTGCCGTCGCCCCGGTCCTAGGCCTTCAGCTGGGTTTTATAAAACCTTTTCAATCTAGGGCCTAGGCCTCCGCCTCCGTGTGCAAAAAAAAAAAAAATATATCAATCAATCAATTTCAACTTTTTGCGGGGAAAAAAAAGATCTTGCAAAATTGGAATTGATTGATTGAACTTTTTAGTCCCACCCAGTTCTGCCATTACCACCGCAGCCATGCCCACCCAATGGGCCACGCCCACCCAGCACTCGACGATGCATAAGTGGGTTTTGGGTTGCAGTTTGGGCACTCCGTCTCTAAAAGGTTCGCCATCACTGGTATAGGGTCTCCGGTTTGAGCAGGGGGTTGAACTAGAAGACTTCCAAGATCCCTTCCAACTCTATTATTCTCTTATTGGGTGCTTCTTCACTTTAAGGGAGGGGGAATCCTCCTACCTGAGTTGGAAGCTCAACTGCTGTTAATCCTCCACTAGAAAGAACAGAGGTTCCAGAAGATGAACACGATGCCATTAGAGTGTCTATGAGTGGAAAAAAAAAAACAGCAAAGGAATAATTTGCTAGCAAGCATCCTAACGATATTCTTGAACCTACAATGAGGAGGGGAGATTTTAGTCTATTTCTGTGCTAACTAGGGAATCAATCAATCAATCAAAATAGAGTTGGAAGGGACCTTGGAGGTCTTCTAATCCAACCCCATGCTCAAGCAGGGGGCCCTATGCCATTTCAGATAGAATGTCCTGACCACTTTCTACAGGGTGCCCCAGGGCTCTGTTCTGGGCCCAGTGCTCTTCAACATCTTCATCAACGATTTGGACGAGGGGATAGATGGGGAATTCATCAAATTTGCAGACGACACCAAGCTGGCAGGAATAGCCAACACTCCAGAAGACAGGCTTAGGATACAGGAGGATCTGGACAGACTTGAACACTGGGCACTAACTAACAAAATGAAATTCAATGGTGAAAAAAGCAAGGTTCTACATTTAGGCAAGAAAAACCAAATGCACAAGTACAGCATAGGTGGCACCATGCTCAATAGTAGTAACTGTGAGAGGGACCTCGGAGTCCTAGTAGACAATCACCTAAATATGAGCCAGCAGTGTGCTGCAGCTGCCAAAAAGGCCAACATAGTGCTAGGCTGCATTAACAGAGGGATAGAATCAAGATCACGTGAAGTATTAATACCACTTTACAATGCCTTGGTAAGGCCACACTTGGAATACTGCATCCAGTTTTGGTCACCACGATGTAAAAAAGATGTTGAGACTCTAGAAAGAGTACAGAGAAGAGCAACAAAGATGATTAGGGGACTGGAGGCTAAAACATATAAGGAACGGTTGCTAGAATTGGGTATGTCTAGTTTAACGAAGAGAAGGACAAGGGGGGACATGATAGCAGTATTCCAATATCTCAGGGGCTGCCATAAAGAAGAGGGAATTAAGCTATTTTCCAAAGCACCTGAAGGCAGGACAAGAAGCAACGGGTGGAAACTAATCAAGGAGAGAAGCAACCTAGAACTAAGGAGAAACTTCCTGACAGTGAGAACAATTAATCAGTGGAACAGCCTGCATCCAGAAGCAGTAAATGCTCCAACACTGGAAGTTTTTAAGAAGAGACTGGACAGCCATTTGTCCGAAATGGTGTAGGGTTTCCTGCCTGAGCAGGGGGTTAGACTAGATGACCTCCAAGGTCACTTCCAACTTTACTACTATTACTATTACTAGGGGGACAATCGAGAGCATCCTGTCATACAGCATCACAATCTGGTTTGGAGGCATCACTGCTTCAGACAGGAAGGCGGTGCAGAGAGTGGTGAGAATGGCCGAAAAGTTCATTGGCAGTTCCCTCCCTCCCATCCAGGACATAGCACAGAAGGGCTGCTTGAGCAGGGTCCGTAAGATCATCTGGGACACTACACATCCTCTTCATGACCTGTTTTCCTTGCTACCTTCTGGGAGGGGGCTTCGTGGTATCCGAAGCAAAACATCCAGATTCAGCCATAGTTTCATTCCATACAGCATTAACCTTGCAAACTCTCAAGCTTCCTCTTTCCGTTATATATTCAAGATGGACAATATTTAATATGTATTGCTACGTATATGTAGGGATGTGAGTCTATACATACGTTGTTCATAGTATGTTTAGGTGTGTGTCATGTACGTGTTTCACTTTGAGAGCGGGCAACTAAATTTCATTTTTGATGTGTGCCATTGTGCCCACAGTATAAAAATGACAATAAAGGCTATCTTATCTTATCTTAAAAATCTCCAGTGATGAAGCACCTACAACTTCTGAAGGCAAGCTGTTCCACTTATTAATTGTCCTGTTAGGAAGTTTCTCCTTAATTCCAGGTTGTTTCTCACCTTCATTACTTTCCATCATTTCTTGTCTTGCGTACCTTGCACTCACAGCAACAACATATAGAAGCTGACATTGGGTGAGAGGAAAGCTGAAAGGTATGTATTACAAAAGCTTATGGTCACTCACGCACACACACAGGTCTGGAAAATTGCCACACTCCGTCCCAAATCAACTGAACACTGAGGCACTAACGGTTCTTTAAAATAAATAAATACCCAGTGAATTTAAAATAACAGCAAACTTTTACTGATATATATTTGCACTCTCTCTCTCTCTCTCTCTCTCACACACACACACACAAACACACACACACACACCTACACTTACCAAGCATCCAATACTAGGGTGCCAGGCACTAGACAAAGGGATGGAATCTGCAAAGTCTGGGATCCAAAAACAAGGACTCAAAAAAAAGGCTGGGTAAGCTGCTTATCCCACAGAATTGGTGGGGAGGGGCCTCCCATGCAGGCCCAACTCCTTTGTTGGTGAGACTTGGGGAGGGGCTTGCCATGTGCTCAGTCCCCACTTTTGTACTTTTTGTTCCCTTAATGACTCGGTTCCTTTCCCTGAAGGAGCTTTTCCTGGCTTTTGTCCACCTTGCTTATTATAAGCCTTGGCAACTTTTCGGTATGGTGGATTTGGCCTAGTAGTCTCACACATTCTTCCCCTTGGCGTGGAGTGAAACAGGAGATGCCACAAACTGCGGCCAACTCATCTCCCCCTCAGAGCATGACAGGTTTTTGTATGTATTCTCGCCAGCAAGTTTGATGTCCAGTTGGCATGGAGGTACAATACTTCAGGAAGACAAATTTAACACAGAGAAATAACATTTTAGGAAAACAGATTTCACACATTGCATGACCGAGGAGATTAATACAAAGGCAAATGATACAAACAGAAAAATTTGAACCGTTTTCCTTCCCCAGGATCCCAAATCAGGTAAGGCAGGGATAGGCAACCTTGGCTCTTTTATGACTCGTGGACTTCAACTCCCAGAATTCCTGAGCCAGCATGGCTGGCTCAGGAATTCTGGGAGTTGAAGTCCATGAGTCATAAAACAGCCACGGTTGCCTACCCCTGAGGTAAGGTGATTGGGGAATTCTGGGAGTTGAAGTCCACGAGTCATAAAAGAGCCACGGTTGCCTACCCCTGAGGTAACGTGATTGGGAAATTCTGGGCGTTGAAGTCCACGAGTCATAAAAGAGCCACGGTTGCCTACTCCTGAGGTAAGGTGATTGGGGAATTCTGGGAGTTGAAGTCCACGAGTCATAAAAGAGCCACGGTTGCCTACCCCTGAGGTAAGGTGAGTGGGGAATTCTGGGAGTTGAAGTCCACGAGTCATAAAAGAGCCACGGTTGCCTACCCCTGAGGTAACGTGATTGGGAAATTCTGGGCGTTGAAGTCCACGAGTCATAAAAGAGCCACGGTTGCCTACACCTGAGGTAAGGTGATTGGGGAATTCTGGGAGTTGAAGTCCACGAGTCATAAAAGAGCCACGGTTGCCTACCCCTGAGGTAACGTGATTGGGAAATTCTGGGCGTTGAAGTCCACGAGTCATAAAAGAGCCACGGTTGCCTACTCCTGAGGTAAGGTGATTGGGGAATTCTGGGAGTTGAAGTCCACGAGTCATAAAAGAGCCACGGTTGCCTACCCCTGAGGTAAGGTGATTGGGGAATTCTGGGCATTGAAATCCACGAGTCATAAAAGAGCCATGGTCGCCTACCCCTGAGGTAACATGATTGGGGAATTCTGGGAGTTGAAGTCCACGAGTCATAAAAGAGCCACGGTTGCCTACCCCTGAGGTAAGGTGATTGGGGAATTCTGGGAGTTGAAGTCCACACATCTTAAAAATTGCCAAGGGGGAGAAAGGCTGGCCTACAGGAAAAAGGCGACACCTTTTTCAATGCGCACAGAACTTTTGAAATGCACACGAGACTCTTAAAAACTCAGTTGAATTAAATAATGAAAAAAAAAAAAGAATTCACAAACGCAAGACACTTGGGCAAAGTCAACCCTGAGGATTCAAGGGCATCAGAAGGAGCCTTTTACCTGATGCTCTTTCCTGAAGGGGCTCGTCTTGAGCCACTGCCCGAAACAATGGCTCCTGGGAGGGGATCGCCCCCTTTTCCTCCGGCCGGTTTAGCAGCCACTGAACTCCGAGGTTTCTAGATCTGAAACAGCTCCAGAAAAGAAAAAAAAACGAAAGTCATGGGAAACGATCCGGAAGGGTCGGCAGAAGAAATCTCCCCAATGAGAAAGTGGGGAGTGCAAGAGCGAACATAGGGGCGCTGCGTTGGAGGGTTACCTGTCCAGGCATTTCTTCAGGTGGGGAAAAGGAAGGAAGGAAGGAAGGAAGGAAGGAAGGAAGGAAAAGGAAGGAAGGAAGGAAGGGAAAGGAAGGAAGGAAGGAAGGAAGGAAGGAAAGAAGGAAGGAAAGAAGGAAGGAAAGAAGGAAGGAAGGGAAAGGAAGGAAGGAAAGGAAGGGGAAGGAAGGAAGGAAGGAAGGGAAAGGAAGGAAGGAAGGGAAAGGAAGGAAAGAAGGAAGGAAGGAAGGAAGAAGGAAGGAAGGAAGGAAGGAAGGGAAAAGGGGAAGGAAGGAAGGAAGGGGGAAGGAAGGAAGGAGAAGGAAGGAAGGAAGGGAAGGAAGGAAGGAAAGGAAGGAAGGGAAAAGGAAGGAAGGGAAAGGAAGGAAGGGAAGGAAGGAAGGAAGGAAGGAAAGGAAGGAAAGAAGGAAGGAAGGAAGGAAGGAAAGGAAGGAAGGAAGGAAGGAAGGAAGGAAGGGGAAGGAAGGAAGGAAGGAAGGGAAAGGAAGGAAGGAAGGAAGGAAGGAAGGGGAAGGAAGGAAGGAAGGGAAAGGAAGGAAGGAAGGAAGGGAAAGGAAGGAAGGAAGGGAAAGGAAGGAAGGGAAGGAGGGAAGGAAGAGAAAGGAAGGAAGGAAGGAAGGGGACGGAAGGAAAGAAGGGAAGGAAGGAAGGAAAGAAGGAAGGGAAAGGAAGGAAGGAAGGAACTTCTTACCTGGCACTGGAAAGGAAAAAGGCGGCTCTCTTCCTCGCCCAGACTCCGCTCCCCAAGAGATGCGAGTAGCAAAGGAACCGCGATCCCCTCCAGCCATGCTGCCTTCCTCCCTTCCCGGCCACGCATGTAGACCCCCCCCCTCCCCGACCCCACCTGGACTTCACAGAGCTCAAGCAGGAAGCTTTCCTAGCTCCTCCCCTCCTCGTCCAGCTCCTCCCTTCCTCGAAAGGGTGGAGAGCGCCGCCCCCTTGGGGTTCCCCCTGTCCACCCCCTCCCTTCTGCCACTGGGGAAGCGGTTCCCCCGTGGGATGGTCCGCTGGGCCGGCAGTGCGGAGCCGCTCCTCCCGCAGCAGTCGGAGAAAGAGCCTGCTAGTAAGATAACTCGAATCCCTGAAGTTCTTTCCACGCTCCAGACGTTTAATAGGGTTTTTCTCCAGCTTCTCTTCTCGTTGACTAAAAGGGAAAGGTCCTTTTGGAGTGCTTCCCGCTTTCCTTTTTTCCCCCCTCTTCATTGTGGCAATGAATCCCAGAATCCCAGGTCATCTCTTGAGTATTTTTCCGCACCCTGTACAAACTTCTTTTCCTTGGTTATCGTCTTCGGCTATTACAGTGTTTCTCAACCTTGACAATTTTAAGGCATGTGGACTTCAACTCCCAGAATTCCACAGCCAGCATTGCTGGCTGTGGAATTCTGGGAGTTGAAGTCCACATGCCTTAAAATTGTCAAGGTTGAGAAACACTGGGCTAAGACTAAGGCATAGAATCAAGATTACGCTGAGTATTAGTACTGCTGTATAAAACCCTAGTGAGACCACACCTGGAATACTGCAGCAGATTTGGGTCACCGTACTACAAAAAAGACGTTCAGACCTTGGAAAAAGTTCAGAGAGGAGCAGCTAAAATAATCAAAGGCCTGGAGACTAGAATATATGAAGAACAGATGCAGGACTCGGTTTTGGCCTGTCTAAAGAAAAGAAATAGGGGTGACATAATAGAAGGATTCTAGTATTTGAAGGGCTGCCACAAAGAAATGAGGGGTCAAATTATTCTCCAAAGTACCAGAGGGCAGGAAGAGAAACAATGGTTGGAAACTGATCAAAGAGAGAAGCAAACTGGAATTAAGGAGAAACTTCCTAACAGTGAAGATAATTAACCAGTGGAACAGCTTGCCTCCATAAATCGTGGGCGCTCCATCACTGGATGTCTTTAGGAAAAGACTAGACCAGGGATAGGCGACCTTGGCTCTTTTATGGCTCGTGAACTTCAACTCCCAGAAGTCCTGAACCAGCCATGCTCACTCAGGAATTCTGGGAGTTGAAGTCCACAAGTCATAAAAGAGCCAAGGTTGCCTACCCCTGGACTAGACAATTTTCTGAAATGGTATAGGCTTTCCTGCTCAGGTAAGGGGCTAGACTAGAAGATCTCCAACATTCTATTCTATTCTATTCTATTCTATACTATACTATACTATACTATACTATACTATACTATACTATACTATACTATACTATACTATTGGGGTGTATGGGGTGTTCAGGGAGGGGTAGTACCTCTGGTGTAGGGCATGTCGTGCCTTTTTAGGGCAGCTCGTATACCTTTGGTCCCCACCTGACATTCAGCTCTCACCTGTGGCTCCTAGTAGCTGTAACATGCGCAGCGGCCACACCCCGGGCAACAGCTTCGACAGGCTGGCCAAACCAGGTTGAGAGTAGCCGTTGTGTCTTCGTTGTGTGAGCAAGGGATTTGTCTATCCCGAGCATGCGAAGACAGACTCTGGCGGAGTGAGCGGATGAGACCTATTAAAATAGAACCAACGGTCATGAAGGCAGTTTCTGCAAGCGACGTGGTATGCTGAGAGCACGGCAAGACACGAAAGATGCCCTGGTCAAGCACTGCACCCAGCTCATCTTCAATTGTCTCGACTTTTGTCCTGCCATTGGAATAAGATGGAATCTGGGAAGAGAGAGTGAGGCTGACTATGCGCACCTCTCCCTCACTTAAATCCAATCCATGCGCAAGTCTTGACATCTTGACTTTCCCTATACTATTATTCTATTCTATTCTATTCTATTCTATTCTATTCGTCAACACTGATATCTGCACATTGAAAAGGAGAGTATTTCTCTGGCCTTCTTTTAACTGGTCTTTCTTAAGGCTGTTTTCCAAACACCCTTTGTGCAACTTCATTTCTAGCTGTTGGGAAAGATGCTGCTTCCTCTTGGCCAGAACCCTCCAAAAGGCCTCTGGCGCTTGGATCCAGCCTCCGGAAGCACATGGAAGCATCCCACAGCCTCTGATCCAGGTGGAAGCAACAACCGCAGCAGAAATGAGACGGATCCTTTCAAGATGAGACTGACGCAGCAGGGAGGGGGAAGCATGAGGTATCTTAATGAGTTGGGGAGGCCTTGGGGGCCTATCCCATCATTAGGCTCTCCACGGCCTTCCTCAACCTAAGATACCCCATATTCACTTAATAAGCCACGTGCGTCTTAACGAGCAGGGAGTGATCTCATTCAAGGTACGAGATTCACTCCAGGCTCCATTCCATTCGTAACTTGAGGACTACCTGTATTAAATTTCCTGCTCTCTACAGATTATAAACAGAAGGATTTTTGTTTATGGGGCAGCAACAAACTAAAACTAGAACTCCTGAGGTACTACATTCAAGTCATCTTTCACCACAAGCTACTTTTTTAATTAGGAAAAACTTACATCGGGCCGGCCAATCAGCAATAATTTCAGCTGAGGGTAAAGGTTCGTTCTCCGAGCTTGTAGGTTGGTTTCTGAACGTTTCGTTACCAGGCTAGGTAACATCTTCAGCTGAGTTTAGGGGATGGTTTAAACTCTTCTCAATCAGAGAATCTCTGCTTTAGCTGGCATTCCTAAGTACTTATGGAGTTGGAGTTCAACCCAAACTCAGAATGCTCTATAATTATGTGGAGAATTTTATTTGGAACCTACAGAAGAAAAGCTTTCCTCTTCTTGGTAACTGTGGCATTCCTTACCTGCTTCTCTACATGTGTTAAAAGTGCAATTTGGAGAGATAAAATGAGAGTTGGGAGACTGACACTTTATAAAACAATTATGGAGAAGAAAGGAAGGAAAGAAAGAAAGAAAGAAAGAAAGAAAGAAAGGGAAGGAAAAAAGGGGAAAAAATCATCTTTATTCAATAAGTTACATGATGACAGCAAAGCCAAAACAGGAAAGAATCAAAAGATCATCTTTATTCAGTAAGCTGATGACAGCAAAGCCAAGAAAGAAGAAAGAATGAAAGAAAGAATCAAAAGATCATCTTTATTCGGTAAGTTACATGATGACAGCAAAGCCAAAGTTGCCTTGGAACCAGCATAGTGGTTTCTTCATCCCAAGAAAGCGAGGAAGAGTAACTACACCACAGCCCTTGTACTGAGCAGCCTGTACAACAACAGGGGTAGCATGAGTGTTGTGCAAGTCGTTCTGTCTTGCCAAATGCCTTGTTCAGCAACTGTTCAAAGTAATGACAATGTTGAAAAAGTTCATCGACAAGGAGTTACACTATTCTTGTGGTCAAATGCAGCCAGCTTCACAGCCAGCTTCTGAGAAGCAAAGTTAATGGGACGCTGGCAGGAAATTGAAAGCCAAGGTCTTGTGATGTGTGCTTAATCTGCAGTTATTTGCTTAACCACCAGTGGAATGAGTGACAGCAGTCCAGCACAGACCCATGATCCTTCACTTGGTGACAATGTTGTTTAATGATGGAGTTGACAGTCCCTATTGCACTAATTGCAGACTACCTATTGTCTCCAAAATTTTTGTCAAATAATTCATGTATGGGGTTCTATTATTATTAAGTTTATGGGTTTTTCGTGAATTAATTTTCCTGTGCCCGTAAGGGAACTGATTTTGACCAAATCCCTCTCCACACATCATATATTTATGATTTCTCACCAGTGTGGATTCTCTTGTGGCAACTGCTCCTTCTGAACCTCTTTCCGCGCTCCAGGCATTTATATGGATTCTCTCCAGTATGGGTGCATTTCTGAGAAGGAACAATTCTGCTATCACAGAAACTCCACAATTAACACACCTATACAGTTTCTCTCTGTATCAGAAGTAGATTGGTGCTAACTATAGCCTTTTCCACATTCCATACACTGATGTGGTTTTAAAATAGGATCATATGAAGTTTCTGCTATTACAGAAAGTCTTTCCACAGTCTAAACGCTTACCTGATCTCTCCCCCGAATGTATCTTTCTATGTGTATTAAGTGCACTAATTTGTCTGAAGTATTTTCCACACTCACTGCATTTATACGGTTTCTCCCCAGTGTGGATCCTCCTGTGACGACTAAGATGACTGCTGGTTGTGAAACTCTTTTCACATTCCATGCATTTGTATGGTTTCTCCCCTGTGTGGATTCTTTTATGGGAAGTTAGGGAGCTTGAATTGGTGAAGCATTTTTCACACTCGGTGCATTTGTATCGCTTTTCCCCCGTGTGGATCCTTGTATGGGAAAGAAGGGAACTTGAATTAGAGAAGCATTTTTCACATTCATTGCATTTGTGTGCTTTCTGCCCTGTGTGGATCCTTCTGTGGTGACTAAGCGTACTGCTGCTTATGAAACCTTTTCCACACTCCGTACACTTATAAGGTTTCTCCCCGGTGTGTATCCTTTTATGGGAAGCAAGATTGACACTCTTGCGGAAGCTCTTTCCACACTCGGTGCATTGATACGGTTTCTCCCCTGTGTGAATTCTGTTATGTACAGTATAATTATATTTTTGACTGAAGTTCTTTCCACATTCCTTGCACTCGTATGGTTTTTCCCCCGTGTGGATCCTTTTGTGGGACGTGAGAGAACCTGAATAAGTGAAGCACTTTCCACACTCAGCGCATTTATATGGCTTCTCCTCGCTGTGGAACCTTTTATGGGAAGTCAGAAAACTTGAACCTATGAAACTCTTTCCGCAATCCTGGCATTTGTATGGTTTTTCCCCGCTATGAATCCTTTTATGGGAAGTGAGAGAACCCGGCATAGTGAAGCATTTTCCACACTCCTGGCATTTATACGGTTTCTCCCCTGTGTGGATCCTTGTATGGTAAGTAAGGTGTTTTGCAGAACGGAAGCTCTTTCCACACTCGAAACACTTATGGGGTTTCTCTCCTGTGTGGATCCTTTTATGATAAGTTAGATGTTTTGCAGAACGGAAGCTCTTTCCACACTCCATACACTTATATGGTTTCTCTCCTGTGTGGATCCTGTGATGAGCAGTAAGGTCCTGAGAATCATTGAAGCTCTTTCCACACTCTTGGCATTTATATGGCTTCTCCCCCGTGTGGATTCTTTTATGGGAAATAAGGTGTTTTGCAGAACGGAAACTCTTTTCACATTCCAGACATTTATATGGCTTCTCCCCAGTGTGGATTCTATTATGTACAGTATAATGATATTTTTGTCTGAAGCTCTTTCCGCAGTTCTTGCAATGATATGGTTTCTCCCCTGTGTGGATCCTTTTATGGCAGGTGAGGGAACCTGAATTGGTGAAGCACTTTCCGCACTCTATACATTTATACGGTTTCTCCTCGCTGTGGAACCTTTTGTGAGAAGTAAGGAAACCTGAAGATCTGAAACTCTTTCCACACTCCTGACACCGATACGGCTTTTCTCCAGTATGGATTCTTTTATGAGAAGTGAGGGAACCTGACATAGTAAAGCATTTTCCACACTCTTGGCATTTATACGGTTTCTCTCCAGTGTGGATCCTTTTATGGTAAATGAGGGAACCTGAGATTGTGAAGCGTTTTCCACAATCCAGGCATTCGTATGGTTTCTCACCTGTGTGAATCCTATTATGAGAAGTTAGGCTTGTGGCAAAATGGAATCGCTTTCCACATTCCTTGCATTCATATGGTTTTTCTCCTGTGTGGATCCTTTTATGGGAAGTAAGATAACTTGAGTCTCTGAAGCTCTTTCCACACTCCAGGCATTTATATGGTTTTTCTCCAGCTTGTATGCTCTGACTTAAGATAAGAGGAATAGTCCGTCTGAAGCGTTTCCTGATTTTATTTTGTTTTTCTACAGCGTGGCGTCTGGAACAGTCGCATAATTCCGATTCATCTCTGAGCATTTTTCCACACTGTGGACACATTCCTTTTTCTTGGTGTTCAACTTCAGTCAAGACACTGACATCTATACACTGAAAAGGAGAGCATTTCTCCAGCCTCCCTTTTAACTGGTTTTCCTCAGAACGTTCCTTTCCAAACCTCCTTTTCACAACTTCCTTTTTGCCTTTTGGCAAAAATGCTGCTTCCTCTTTTCTGGAAGCCTCCATTTGCCATTCATCACCTGTTTGGAGCAGAAAAAAAGGAAAGTTGACACAAACTGAATTATGTAAGGCAGGGATCCCCAACCTGTGGGCTGCGGCCCAGTAGTGGGCCATGAGGGGTTTGCAACTGAGCGGTGGAAGTGGGACAGGCTGGCCAGTGCATCCACGTGTGCATGCACACACCCTCACTCGCACTAGTGCCATAGGGCACAAAAACGGGACGCTGCGCCATGTAAAAATGGGATATCGCTGCATCGCTGTGTGTAAAAATAGGATGTCGACGCACCTCAGGGTGCGAAAATGGGACATCGCTGTGCCTTGGGATGTGAAAACGGGATGTTGCCCCACCTCGGGGTGTGAAAATGGGATGTTGACACGCCTTGGGGTGCGAAAACAGGATGGTGCTGCGCCCCAGAGTGTGAAAACGGGACATCACCGCGCCTCAGGGCATGAAAACAGGATGTCACTGCATCATGGGGCACGAAAATGGGCTGCTGCCATGCTGCAGGGCACAAAAACAGGTGCTGCCGTGCTGCAGGGTGCAAAAATAGGTGCCACCATGCTGCGGGACACGGAAATGGGGCATTGTGTCATGCAGATTGGGGCAGGGTTAGCGAGTATCATGCAAGCGGGGGAGGAGTCACCCTCCAAGAGGAATGAAAAAAGGCAGCAATGGCTGGAGGTGAGGCACGGAGGAGGAAAGGAGATGGAGAGTGGAAGGATTCTTGTGTGCTTTTGTGACTTTGAAGTTCTGGGATTTGTGCAATGAGGGCTTTGTGTTCTTAAGGAGTGTTTGGCAATTTTTATTTGGCTGATGGCTGATGTCTTGTGTTAGCTTCTATTGCTCTGCTGTTGTTAGCTGTAAGTTTTGCTGCAAGGGATTTTGAAGTATTTTTCTCCTGAATGGATTTTGCCTGTAGCATTCCTTTACTTATGAATGCAGCCATTTGGGGAGGTTGTCTTAGCCGGCAGCCAATACTTACATTTTTTTTTCTTCCTTAAGTGCCAGCTGCACTTACTTTCCTTTCTAGCCAGTAGCTAATTCTTAAAGGGGAATGTGCCTTTTTAAGCTAGTTCACTCAGTAGCTTGTCTTTTCTGTCTCTGGAGGCCTTTCCTTGTTTGATCAATATATGGAAGAGGGAAAATATGGGGGGGGGGTTCAAATTCTTCCTTCAGAAGGAGATGGGAATGAGAAAAAGGGAGGCAGGGAAGGGAGGGAGGAAAGGAAGTCCCGCCTTAGCACTTGGCCACCAGCAGCTCTGCCATTGACTTTGCTTGTCAAAAGGTTGCAGAAGGGGATCATATGACCTTGGAACACTGTGACCATCATAAATATGAATCAGTTGCCAATCATCCAAATATAAATCACATGACCCTGGGCATGCTGCCATGGTCATAAGTCATTTCAGTGCAATTGCAACTTTGAACAGGGTTTTTTTTTTGATCATCAAGTTTTTGACACCTTGCTAGGTGGTACTCAAATATTGCCATATCCTAAAGGTAGTTCAATCGGTAAAAAAGTTGAAAAGCCCTGGACTAGATGACCTCCAAGGTTCCTTCCAACTTTACTACTACTACTACTACTACTACTACTACTACTAATAATAATAATAATAATAATAATAATAATAATAATAATACTATTATTATTATTACTTTATTTTGGTGTAAAAGTAAAGCTTGGACTTCACTTTTTACTTTGGGCTTTCATATGTATCGCTTTAAAAAACCTTAGTAAGACCACACCTGGAATACAAAACTCAGTCTTGGACACTACATTACAAAAAAGATGTTGAGACTTTGGAAAAAGGGCAAAGAAGAGCAACTAAGATGATTAAAGGCCTAGAATCTAAAACATATGAAGAACGGTTACAGGACTTGGGTTTGGCTAGTCTAGAGAAAAGGACTGTGTGGGGGGGGGACATGATAACAGTATTCCAGTATTTGAGATGCTGCCACAAAGAGGAGGGGGTCAATTTATTCTCCAAAGCACCAAAGGGCAGGACAAGAAACCCCAGATGGAAACTAATCAAGGAGAGAAGCAACCTGGAATTAAGGAGAAACTTCCTAACAGCGAGGACAATTCACCAATGGAACAGCTTACCTCCAGACGTTGTGGGTGCTTCATCACTGGAGATTTTTAAGAAGAGACTGTCTGAAATGGTATAGGATCTCCTGCTTGAGCAGAGGGCTGGACTAGAAGATCGCCAAGGTCCCTTCCAGCTCTACTCTATTCTGAAATTCTGTCTGATCAATAAGGCATCAAGAATAGATGATGAGAATATACAGAAAAGCTGTATGCAGGTAGCAAAGGGACTTAGCCTCAGCCAACTGCCAAAAAACAAGACTCCAAGTATTTATACCATCCTTGCAGAATTACTGGGACCCGCATCATTCACAGTCATTAGGGACTTGTGCCAGAAAAAAAATTGGGAAACCAACATGTGGCCATAGGACTGTAAATACTCAAGTGTTCATTCCAATGTCAAAAAAGGGTGACTCTAAAGATTGCACCAATTATCCCACAATTGCTCTCATCTCTCACATCCGCAAAATTCTGCTTAAAATTGTTGTCACCACTGCTAACATCGGATGTTCTTGCTTTGACAACATATGGAGATGCAGCCATTTTCCTTCTTATGTTTTACTCTTAGAATTAGAGTTAGAATTAGATGATACTGGGGGGGGGGAGAAGAGGAATGTGCATAGGACTTTAGTTAGACATAACAATATTGTAACTAGTGTGAGAACCAAGGTTTTTTGAAAGAAAAGACGATAAGAAATAGTGGGTTGACAAACTGGAGGGAAAACCTGCATTTCAAACTAATTGGAGAATATGATTTATGACTGTTAATTAGAGGAGGGAATTGTGCTTTGATACTATGTGCTCAGGGGAGGGGGATTCAGATTTTGGCTTCGTCTATGTATGTGCCGATGCTATGCTACTCGAATAAAGATTCTTTAAGGTAAACAATGCCTCGAAGTTCCTTGAAGAGTTTCATCTGTCGGAATCATGACATTAAGCCAAAATCTGAATTCCCCTCCCCGTCAATGAGATTGCATTCTCTCCCCTCTCTCCACCTGTATGCCAAAATGATCATGATAAAGCTAGATCTTGAAGAATTTAAAAAAAGAAGAGGAAAGATCAGAGGAAGACACTCTTTGACAGGCTGATAATACAACTCAGAAACCAAAGAAGGCCTGGAACACCTGATCAAAAAAACCAAGCAAGAAAGTGAAAATGTTGGTCTCTTTCTGAACATCAAAGAGACCAAGCTCATGACCACTGCCAGGAACAGAAATCTCAAAACAAAATCTCAAAATTGATGGTGAAGAGATAGAATGCATGGAAAAATTCACTTTCTTAGGATTGCAGGTCACGGAAAGTGGTGAATGCAGCCCAGAAATAAAATGTCGGATTGCACTGGATCGCACAGCAGTGATGAACATTGAACCAAATATGGAAAAACAAGGACATCTAACTGGCAACCAAATGTAGGTTAGCCCATTCTATTGTGTTCCCCATAGCTACCTGTGGTTGTAAAAGTTGGACCTTATAAAAGCAAGACAAGATGAAAATTGACTTGTTTGAGTTGTGGTGCTGGAGAAGTCTCCTGTGTATTCCTTGGACAGCAAAGGTGACTAACAAACAAGTACTGGAGCACGTAACACCAGACAAGTCACTAGAAGGCAATATCAGCAAACTGTGTCTCGCTTATTTTTTCATGTCACGTGGGGGAATTCAGTGGAGAAAGGAATCATGTTTGGAAAAGTGAGTGGTAAAAGAAAATCAGGCCACCAAAGAACACGGTGGCCGACACTAGCTAGAGCAGGGGTCTCCAACCTGTGGGCTACGGCCCACTACCAGGCCATAGCCTGCTGGCCACTGGGCCACAGGACAGGCTGGCCAACTCGGGCTAGCGCCGCCACCACTACGCAAATGGAGCACCATGTAGTAAACACAGGGCAGTGCTAGCAAGTGTCATGCGGGCGCTAGTACCGCCCCATTTGCATCACGTGGGTTCGCAGGCCTGTTTGTGTGCGCATGCACGTCTGTAAAATACTTCCCCCTCCCTTTCCCTCTGGTCCGCCAACCAAGAAAGGTTGGAGACCTCTGAGCTAGAGCATAGAACAACTCAAAGAAGTAGTACAAGATTGGAAGGTGTGAAGACACCTGCACACAGAAGCACCAAAAGTCAGACACGACTGAGTGGATAATATCATCCTCATCATGGAAGAACATTTTGGTTTAATTTTCATCTGAGAAGAGCTTTAGCCTTCTTTCCATGAATAAGTTCTCCTTTGATTTTTTTTTTTTTAAAGAATGGTTCTCAGTTTGGGGGTATGTTCATTCAACTTGAGTTAACTTAAGAAAATAAAGCATTGAAGAAAGTGGGAGGGTGGAATGTCCCGTGTCTTCAGTCTCATCAGAGAGTCCAGTTCTCTAGCAGTCATATCCTTGTGATGCTCCCTGGGTGATTAATTGTGAAGGTTTTAGATCCTCTGTTAACCAAACAGAAGAAGAATGGCAGACAAGGATACCCTCCTCCAAGCTAGGAAGAGAAGTGGGCAACTTAGAGGGCCGTAAAGCACTGTGAAGCGGTATACTGTACAAGTGCTATTGCTATTTCCTCTGAGAAATAAATCAGCTGTTTATTTCTGATTAGAAAATATCTCCCA